CTGGGGCTTTGGGGGAAAAATAAATAAATAAAATTATAAAATTATAAAAAAAATATTAAAAAAAACATAATTTCAGTTTTTTACTTGCTTTATATTTTATAACAAATTTGAGAGGTCTCATAGTTTCTGTTTATTGTTTTGTTTTTTAGCAGATGGCCCATACCTTCAAATATTAGAGCAACCCAAACAGGTAAGAAGATTAAAGGGATGGGACTTTGTCTTTAAATGTTAGATCCATAAGTCTAATAATAATATCTCAAGCACTGAATAGTAGTAATTGAATTTTATGAAAGAAGTAGCTTACCTAGAAGATGGACAACCTGCCAAATTATGTAACAACTTTATTTGTCCATTTTACATTTCTCTTGGTCGTTCTTCAAACTGTCTTGATCCTTAGTGCGTAGTTCTGTAAAACTTCATTTATTATGGATCCTTGGTATCCCACTGTCTCTACCAACTCTGCTTACCAGCCACTGCTGGGAAAGGCATAAGCTATCTCCATTTAGTTGTCATTTCCTGTGGAAGTACACAGACATGCAGTTCGCATACATTGAGTTACGTCCATGCACGTGCAGCACTGCTTAGCCTCCCTCCTTCCTTTAGTCGCCCCAGCCTTTTTTGTTTTGTCTTTGCAACTTGTACCCTGAGATTCTAAAAGTACCAGTGGGAGGTAGATGAAGTGTTGGAATGGACAGTTGTGTTCTCTTCCCTCTGGTGTTAGCTTTAGACTCAGGCTCTTTGGAGTCAGGAGGGGAGCATTTTATTTTATCAGACCTTCCTCTTATCACTAGATTCTGTAGAGGATGCCTGGGAATTGAAATGGCCTCCTCACCATGCCCCAACTCTGTGGATAAATGTTTATTGGAAATTGGATGGGACGAGTGCTATGAAAGAGGAAGTTAATCCGTAATGTCTGCCTAAACGGAAGTAATGGTGTAGTCCTCCACAGAGTGAGGACAAGATCAGTGAGTCTCTGAATGGACGTGCTTGCCAAAAGGTGTGCGACTGAGTATGTGTATACCTGCTCTCTCGCAGTTATGTTACCCAGTACCTTTCCTAAATGTTTTTAGTAGCTCAGGTGAGTGAGTGTAACACTCTTGCATTGTGTAACATATAACAAATGATAATTAGGTCAAGAACTTAAATAAAGTGGTTATAGTAGTTACTATACTCATGGCGTTATATATGTATTTGGGTTTGGCTGACATTTAAAGGATGTAATGGGCCGGCTCCGTGGCTTGGCGGTTGGGTGCGCGCGCTCTGATGCTGGCGGCCCGGGTTCGGATCCCGGGCGCGCCCCAAGGCACCACTTCTCCGACCAACCCGGGGCCGAGTCCCACGTACAGCAACTAGAAGGATGTGAACCTATGACATACAACTATCTACTGGGGCTTTGGGGGGAAAAAATGAATAAATAAAATCTTTAAAGGATGTAAATATCATAACTATGACCAAATAGACTATCCTTATAAGGTTGAACCTAGATAAAAGTTTGTGATGTGGGGACAGGAATACCACGAGATTTCAGGGCATTGTTCTGGATGCTTGCAGGTGGCACACCCTGTCTCTGCAGGCTGCCAACATGACTTTCCTGTGCTTATGTCCAGTTCTGTAGCAGTGACTTCTCACAGGAGGTACCAGTTCCCTCAAAGACCCTCGCATTGGAGGTTTATCCCCTAAAATTCTATGCAGTGGTCTGGCTTCCTGGAAAATTTTCTAGCTTTTAAGATCTGGGTAATCCATGAAACTGAGAAATAAACTCAAATTTATTTGTCTGCATACCAAGCAAAGCATGTTTTTCAAATATTCATTTTCAGAAGCACAGCACTACAGTATAAATTTTAAATGCAATTCCTTATTATGGGTCCAACAGTCATAAGGAAAAATTGACATTTATGATTTACCTGAAGGGTTATGTAGTTGCAAAATTCAAAATTTAATTTACTGTGTGTGGGTGTGTAAAAGCTCATCTGAGTAAAACAATGTGTTTGTTTACCAAACTGATGTTATTTTGATGTCTGACTCCAGTGAAAGTAAGAAAGTTGTATTTAAGTCAGACTTTCTGACCGGATGGATGCAGCCTTGCCTTTGAGGTTGATGACTCATTTTAAGCAAATGGAGTTACTGAGATGAATGGCTGTGGATTGGCATACCTTTAATCTCAAAAATTTAGAATCAGAAACACATCCACACTATGTATTTGAAGACATCCTATCTTCCTGAAAAAAATAGTAATGAGTTTTCATCCTCAGGTTAAAAATTTCTTTGCATAGAAGTGTAGATACTCTTATGCAACCATGAGTAATATCTATTGTTTTTCAAACTATAGGCAAGCTATTTAGACTTGTCTGTTCACTCATGTTCCATTTGACATCACTTCGCATTAGATATAAAAGTGTACGTGGATATATTTCTCTGACTGTTCTAAGGGAATTTTGTGATTAAAGATAATGAATTACTATATTAAATTTTTTAAAATAAAAGTTAGAAAAACGTTCCTGCCACAATTTTCCCCAGCTCTGACAGAGATGAGTCATAGCGTAAACTACTAATCTTTACAATATCCAGTTCTGTTGCATATTATTCAGTGCTAATTATCTCATACCGTTTAAAAACTGAAGTTGTATTTAAATTGGTTAGCAGTCAAGTAAGTCTCTGTCTTTATGGTTAGCTAATTCTGGAGGCTAACTGTTGCACATGCTGTTGCTTTTCATGCTTTTAGAAATTTTATTTATTTATTTGTTTATTATTATTTTTTTTAATGTATGTTCTTTCTTCTTCTTCTTCTTCTTTTTTTTTTTTTTTGTGAGGAAGATCAGCCCTGAGCTAACATCCGGGCTAATCCTCCTCTTTTTGCTGAGGAAGACCGGCTCTGAGCTAACATCTATTGCCAATCCTCCTCCTTTTTTTTCTCCCCAAAGCCCCAGTAGATAGTTGTATATCATAGCTGCACATCCTTCTAGTTGCTGTATGTGGGACAGAGCCTCAGCATGGCCGGAGAAGCGGTGCGTCGGTGCGCGCCTGGGATCCGAGCCCGGGCTGCCAGTAGCGGAGTGCACGCACTTAACCGCTAAGCCATGGGGCCGGCCCTAGAAATTTTATTTAATTCTTAAAAATAAGCCAGCGTCCTTTGTCTACAAAAGGTACGGGGTTGAATTTGTAATTTTATTTTTTAGTTTGAATTTTGAGAGGAGCAAAACAGAAGAGTTGCCCCTGAATGACTGACCTCGCCTCAGAACGCTTCCCCCCTGACACTTAGGTTTGGAGGCTCCTGAGGAGCTGCACGAAGAGTTGTGTTAGGTCCCACGTGGACGAGTTGATCAGACACTCTCGACCGTGTGTGGCTTGAGGAACTTTCCTACACTAGAGACTTTATTGCAGGCTTTCCTGCTTCCATGAAATTTGCTGTAGGACTGATCCTGTCTGGAAATCAGAAAGTTCTCAGAATATTGGGACACTTCCAGATGCTTACCAGAGATTTACATTAGTTCAGGGCTCCCGGGCCACTCAGAGACTGTTTTGCAAGACCCTACACAAGGCGTAATGAAATGTACTGCAATCTAAGGAGGGCGAAAATTTTGCTTTGGTCCATGAGCTCAAAGTTGTTAAAACCTTTGTGGTTGCTGGGCTTTGCTGTTGTTATGAGTGTGCAAGGTAGAAGCCCCACCAGCGAGTCATGGGGTGCGGAGCTCTGGGCAGCCTGGTGATCCAGCATAGTTCATCTGAAGTGAGTCCCACAGTAAAAATAAGGGAAAGGTGAGGATGTTCCTTCAAGTATATTAACATTTTCTTTTCACCAAAGGGTGACTTTTAAAAAGAAAAAGTCCAGTTAAGTGAGTGTATAATTATAAACTACTAACACTACCACAAATTGATTGGCATCATTATAAAGTTGCATCTTTCAAGAAATACACTGCAAGTTCCCTTAATATGATGATAAGACCCATTCTCATAATTGTCCTTGTTTTATTCTTTGTATACAAATATGCACGATTATAATTATTAGCCTTGTAAATCATAAAATGTTAGAACTGGAATAGACCTTAAGATAGTCTAGTCTCATCTTCTCATTTGTATAGATAAAAAAACACGCATCTTAGATGTTTACCAGCCCACAGTAGTTCACATAGCAAAGACTTCCCGCTAACTCTTCATTCATTTACTACATCTGTAAAATTCTTGAGTTAATAATATTTAAAGGGTTTTGGATTCATTCAGTTCAGTTAATATATCAAACCAGAGCTTGATAATATCAGTAATCATAAACTTATCTTCTGAACTGTTGAGAGAAGCGGGCCAGATGCAGAATCTAGCGTAAGGTATATTCTACAACACTGACTCGATGTATTTAACAAGACGTCTCTGTATTCCCCCCTGAACCAACTGTAACCAGCGTAGATAAAGGAGTTCCTTTAACAGTCAAAGAAGCATAGCTTTGAGTAATATGGCCAAGTTAGTGCTTGGCAGCAGCAATTTGAGATGAGGAAGCTCTGATTCAGACAAGCTGTAGCAGGTTGCTCTCCACATATGCACAGCAGGAGAGGATATACAGGGTGGGACCTGGCTTTTAAGCCACAGTTCAGTACATAAATATCAGTTAATGTCAAGGTTCATAGTAAGATTATGGGAAAAGTGGTTCTCATTTATAGAGCCCTCTTTCACAGTTCCTTGTATTTTTCCTTTCTTATCTAATACAAGAATTAAAAATTTGTATATAACTTTGCCCTTATAATTTTTAATGAGTATTTCTCAAGTCTTGGCTCTGTTCACCTTTGCAGAGAGGATTTCGTTTCCGTTATGTCTGTGAAGGTCCATCCCATGGTGGACTCCCCGGTGCGTCCAGTGAAAAGAACAAGAAGTCCTACCCTCAGGTCAAAGTAAGTTGGTGGTGTCCTCTGTGAATTTGGAAGATTTGATTTCCCAGGAGCAAGAGAAAGGAGTACTTTAAATGGATACAATTTGCCTTTGTTCCTAAGCCGAAGTGTTCACGTGGTAAAAATTATAATTTTTACCTAGAAATTTGTCCTTAGGAATACAAGTGACAGATTTTAAAACTCTGTTAATATTTCCATTTAGTAGACATTATTTCAACATTAACAAACTTTTACTCTTTCTTGATCATCGTAAAGTTTTTTTTTTTTTTTGTGAGGAAGATCAGCCCTGAGCTACATCTGTCGTCAATCCTCCTCTTTTTGCTGAGGAAGATTGGCCCTGGGCTAACATCTGTGCCCATCTTCCTCTTTATATGGGACGCTGCTACAGCATAGCTTGACAAGCGGTGCGTTGGTGCGCACCTGGGATCTGAACCCTGGGCTGCCACAGTGGAGTGCGCGCACTTAACCGCTGTGCCACTGGACCAGCCCCGTAAAGTTATTTTAATTGTATACTTTCTGAAACTTTAGTAAGTCTTTGAAAGAAGTGCTTGACATCAGCTCTTTGGAGATTTAGGGAAAATCAAACAGATGACTTGAGTGTATGGATTACATAGCATAACATTTAAGATTGTGACTTCACATCCAGACTGTTGCTAGCTGTGTGCTTTGACTAGGTTATCCAGCACTTCTAAACCTCAGTACTCCCATATGTTAAGGGCAGAAATGTTAAAAGTCTATACTTCATAGGATTCCTTAGAGATGAAATGAGAAAATATATGTAAGCATTCTGCAGCGAGCCTGCACGTACTATAGGCCCTGTGCCTGAGCAAATGTTGCCACATGTGGCTGTCCTTGGAATGCCCTGCCTCATGACATGCCTGTGGTGTGCTTGGTTGAGCCTTTTACACATCTGTTTGTTAATTTAATTGAGAATATCTTTCTCGAGTTAATTTGAGTTTTTTATTTTCGTAATATGGCATCATGTTTCATAGACTGATTGATAATAGTTTTGTGGAAGAGCTAGTCGACAACTGTAGTTTCATCATTTATAGAAATTTTTATTTATCCAATAATTCAAGGCTTTGGCAGAAGGTTATCAACTCAGTCCTCACTAAGGTGTGTGTGGCCCTCAGGACATGACGTCCTTTTATTCTAAGTCTTGTTGTTGGTTTGTTTCCGTGAATGGGTGAGGGCAGCAGGACAGACTCCCAGTAAAAGCATGACGTCAAGGAGATTTGTCTTTGGCTTCGCCAGCCTTGCGTGCTGTTTCCTCCTCTTCCTTGTGTCCTCTTCTAGACCTAGGCTTTTCTAACTTCTTATCCCTGTTCCCAAACAAAAGACAAAATGCTGTGATGTTATTCCTTACTTTCTGAGTGAAACTCACCCGTAGTGTACAGTATCGGTGCTACCAATCATATTTGCATTTTAAGTCTCCTGGCTCTCGTGTAGAATGAGAGGTGTTTTCCTGTGAAAGGTCATTAGGCAGAGAAAATAGGATGCGTTTAGCCCACAGAGGGAGACCAGAGTCTTATGGTCTCAAGTCCTTCAGAATCTGGATGAGGAAAAAGGAGCAGCAGTAAAGAGGAGTTAGCACTTATTAAACACCCAAGATCTGTCAAGTACTTTACATACCTTATCTCTTTTAATCCTCATAACAACCCTGGTAGGAAAAAGTATACTACCTGGGAGAAACCTGAGGCTCAGAGGGAGGAGTGGACGTGCCTTTCTCCCAGGCCTGGTAGCTGTTGATCCTACCACAGACTGTTGCTCATTGAGCTCTCATGTGGAATGTATGCTGGGGGCGGGGACACAGGGGACAGGACTTGGGAGGACAGTGATGAAATAGGGCACATGGAAAACAAGGGGGAGAGAGGCTCAGGGGGCAAAGGGTCCTCCGATATTAGGGAGTCAGATCCAGCACTTATCTTTTAAATAGACGTGTCTGTGTGTCGTGTATATAAATATTGTCTGTGTTTATGTGTGTCTGCTTGTGATAAGGATAATTGAAAGATAGATGCTATCAGCATTGACACTGATTATAACTACTGAAGAATTAACATTAAGAGAAAAACTGGGAGTTTTTTCTAGAGTGGCTCTGTCCAAAAAATATAAATTATGGTATTTTCATGCACTGTTTACTTCTATTGCTCCAGTCTTTTGTGGGTAAGGAACAGTTCTTGATACTGAAAAATACATGGCATTAACTTTGTTATAAATTTATTACTTGATAACAAACTTTATATATCCATTTATGCTCAGTCTTCATACATCCTTCTCATGTAGTGGTTGCTGCCTCACATTTACAAAATAATTTAGAAATAAAACAACCTAATGGACATTAGATGTTCTTGTTGGATCATAGTTTCTATATCAAGGAGTTTAATACTTAGTGGGAAATGTAGATATATAAACAACTAATAATGAAGGAAGTCAAAATATAAACGGGTAAGATTGGTCATTATTAAACTTCAGCTGCAGCTTCATTATTTCACCCAATCATTTATTTTTTATTCATTAATTCAATATATATTTATTAAGCATTTAATCCAGTTGTAAGAATGGGAAGAACAGTTTAGAGAATCTATTATAACCTGTCATTGTTCTCTTAGCCTGTCATCGTTGACTGAGAGTTTAAATGGCTGTGCTGTTCATAATAGTTAAAGGAAGTAATTTTATTTGTCTTAGAAGCTTTTAATCAGAAGGATGGGGAGGAGGGAGAGAAAGAGACAACCATGAGGTATTTTTTCCAGAGCTCTTCTCCCAATATCACTTTTCATAATGGATAGCTGAGGGTGACCTTTCAGTTTACGAAGGGATCTAAGTCCCTTTTCCCTGTAGCACTTAGGCGGAGGAAAGAACTGCTCTCAGTGTCTGTGAGGATCTTTGCAAGTGTACATGTCTTTTCTGCAGTAGTTAACTAGGGGCCCGCTCCACATGAGGCTGTAGGGAAGCAGTGGAACGGATAGAGCTAGATCAGGGTTTCTCAAACGGCACTGCTAACATTTGGGACCGGAGAACTCTTTGTTGTGGAGGGCTTCCCAGTGCATTGTAGGATATTCAGCAGCATCCTTGGCTTCTACCCACTAGATGCCAATAGCATCCCTACAGTTGTAACAACCAAAAATGTCTCCAGACGTTGCCGGATGTCCCCTGGGGGACAAAATCACCCTGCTTCAGAACCACTGATCTAGATGCAGTGTCAAATCGACCTTAACCGTTCTCCTTTGCATACTTTTCTACTATGAAGCTGTAGCACATAGGTTATATGGAATTGCCTAAGTATGTTACTTTGCAAACATATTGTATGTTTCTTGATTATTAATAGATACTTATTTTCAAGATGATGATCATAGTGACTGTATAATTTCTTCTAGAATCTCTGAGCTAGCATACCTGGCTGTTAAGGAGAAACATAGAAAAGAGAAGAAAAAACATATCTTAAACATTCCATATTCTATGATAACTGCATATCTAAAAGTTAACGTGGGAGTTCTGTTGGCTCTCAGTTATAAACTGTTGCAGAAGAGAAAGTGAAAGTGAAGACGGGTTCAGTCCAGGCTGTGAACTTGCAAAGCAGCTGTTTGTGAGCAGTGGGAGCATCTGTGGAAGGGTCCTCATCCTCTCTTCTGGTGGAGGGAGGTACAAATGAGAATGCCCTACACTTATCCCAGAATCAGTTCCCGTAGGAACTTCGCAGGGAAGGTATTCACATTTACTGCAAAGAAATGATATTTCCGTGATTTATATATGCTGCCTATTTATGAAAGTACATTTGTTCAGGCTTAACAATAGAATGTTACAGGCTCTGCCTTTTCTTCCCCTCTAGCCTGACTCCCTCTCTCGGCATCCTGCCCCTGTGAGGGCACACCACTCCCTTGAGAGGCCCCTGCAAGGCTGGTGGTTCAGCATGCACTCAGTCACTTGCAGGCAGCAGCAGAGGGTCAGGGCCAACCCGAAAGCTGATGGGGCCAGCTGTGGTTTGGGACTGCAGACCCCGAGCTGTACTATAGAGCATGTAAACATAACCTGCTTGGGTTACTCTCTTGCTGATTGTCCAAATATGGTATCAAGTTAAATCGTTTTAAAACCGATGCTAGGAGTCTACCCTAATCCTCCTGTCTCTACTGGAATTTTGTCCCGGGCTTAAAACTCTATTTCAGATAAGCTGGGTGTAGGCTGGGGCTAGATACTCTCTCAGCATGTTGAGATTATTTCTAGAACTCAGGCTACTGGACCTTCTGGTGCTCTGCAGGTTTCTTTCACATCAAAGAATCCCGTTTAGCTTTCTAGAGTCTTGCTGTGTGAGTCCTCACATTGTTTTTAAAAAATTGTTTTAATGATAAAATATTTCAAGCATACAGAACGTTTAAAAATTGATAGAACAGACACTATATACCACCACCTAGATTTAGTAAACAGTAAAATTTTACCGTATTCCCTTCTGATTTCTTTCTCTCTCACTCGCTCTCTCTCTCTCTTGATCTTTCTAAAATAAAACATAATTACAGCTGAAGCCCCACCCATCCATCACTTTTTCCTTCTTCTTCATAGGTAAACCACTATTCTGAACTTTCCTTCTCTGATATGTTTTAATATTTTTACTGCAAAAGTATGCTTCCATAAATACTGGCATTTTCAAAAAGGTTAATTTTTACTGGCTTCAACCGAAATTTTCTTTTATACGTGATGGCTTCTTTTCAGGGCAAATAAGAGTTAAAACTGGGCTCCATTGAAGATTCGTATTCACTTTGGTCCTATTGATTCCTCTTTATCATCTACATAAAATTTATTCATTACTATGTAGAGTATATTCTAACTCTTACAGCAAAACAAATAATATTCAGAGAAAAATCTGGGCAAAGTAAATATGCAGACTAACTCTGTGTCTTGCCCTTTCTAAGGAAAAGCTTTCCTGTAGTTATATATTTAATAATCTGTTGTATGGTCCTGTAATGTTTCCTGAGTTCTGATTTCATCATGGAGCTCCTAATGGAAGAGGCTGG